AGGATATTCTGTCACCATCAGAGTATGAAATGCTCCTTTAGCAGTGCCAGGTGTGTCTGAGTGTCCCACACCTGCCTCTGATAACTCCTGATCATAGGGAAGCAGAGCAGGGCATCAATTAGAAACCAACCTTCCTCCAAGCTGCACTAAGCAATATTAAAGCAGTTTTTGTCAAGAAAACCCTGGTAAGTGGCTGTATTTACCTTGAGAGTTTTCCTAAAATCTTCCTCAGAGCCTGGAGCAACCCAGTTTAGGCACAGCAAACTCCAAACCCAATTCCTCTGTGCTCTCCTTGCTCTGGGAATCAGCACATCTCAAACTCTTTCTGTATTAATGAGAGACCCACCAAAGGAGAAAGGTTGGGTTTCCAAATACCTGGATCGTTTCAGAGCTGCTGCAAGCAGCTTTCTGTAGCATTTGCTGTATTCTAATAAGTATTTCACAGGCTGAAGTTGATCTTAAAATTGAATAAATCATTAAAAAAACCTCTCAGCCCAAACAAACCTGTTGTTTGTCCTGCCACAATGAACATTTGCATCTGAGCTGCATTGCAAATGGATTTTATTGAAATCAGGCTTGTGTGTGATGGTTTTGTTCCCTGGCATATGGACTTGTGCTCACAGTGGCCTTGTCTGGCAAGTGCTTGGCACAGAATTCCTCCTTTTTTTGTGTTTCCTGAATTGCTGAGAGCTTTGTGTGGGACACCCACAGGTGGAGGGTGGATTCTGAACCAAAATTTGGCCAAATGGCAAAAAGTGTGTGGTGGTTTTTCCATCAGGAAGCTGATACCTGCCCAGAGCTCAGCAGGGCAGCCCAACACACCCAGGGCAGGCAAACAAAACATTCAGCTGATTTTCCCACTGATAACCCACAATAAATGATGTTGCAAGTTTGTTTTTTTTTTTTTCTTTAGAATCCTTTCCTTTTGTCTAAACCAACTTCCTGACTTGGTGGGCATTAATTAATAGGCACAAATTCCTCTTCCATTGAATGGAGTGAGTGCATCCCAGAGATAAATTTCTCTTGAATGAGAAAAGAACAATAATGGATGATGGTGGTGGTGACAGACACTCATCTCTCTGACAGTGCTGGGCACGATGATAAAGTGAACAAACCTTCTTTTGTTCTTTTTTAAAGTGAGTGCAACGATTCCACTGCTGCCCACTGCCTGTGGTGCTGATGAACGTGAGCTCATCATTCTGAAAACCAGAGGCACAGCCCAAATTCATCCCGTGCCTTTGTTCTGCAGCAGCACAAATGCACTGTTAGCTGGTAATTGTCTCCTAATTCAAATGGAGTTGGCATTAGGACATGAAAAATCCACGGGGTTGGGTTTTGCATTGCTGGGAGCCACTGAATACATTTCAAAATTGTATTTAAGACAGAAATTGGTGCCTATAAGCTGCTGGCTGTGCTTGTAGAATGTCAGAATGCATTTCCTGTAGGTTTTCCCTCCTCTCCCACACTGGTGGGGACACAGCTCTTGGTAGACAATGCTCATGTGGTCACACTGTGTCAAAGTGGTGTCTTGGTAAATTATAGCTGAGCTTATCTGAAGTTTTTATTCAAGGCATTTTCTTAACAAGGCTTCCCACCAAGATCTTGGCTCACCAATCTTTGTTCTCTGCCCTGCCTGGAGCAGAGATGGAGTTTGCTTTCTCAGCACAGCCCTGAGACAGGAATTGCAGTTCCTCCGATACCATCTCGCTTGAACATTTTCTTTTTTTGGTCTGCTTTTAAAAAGGTCAAATGTTTTTTTTGCTGATGTTCAATGTGTTATGAGGTCAAATAAATGAATGCTCATGAGCTGCTTTTGCAGAAAGCTGTGTGCAGCAGATAATTGCTGTGTGTGTGCTCATTGCTGTGTCAGATAAATGCAGCTGTAGGATTTCCTGCTTTATTCATTGTTCTGGAGCATTGATGCTGAGCAGGTCTGGACAGAGGGGTCAGCAAGCAGCAAATTAAAGGATTGCTGGGATATTGTTCCGGTTGGGGTTTATTTATCTCTCCCTGGGGGTGCCTGGGGATTACCTTGTGCAGCTGATGGGGAAGGGAAGGTTTGGCAGGGCAGGATGGAGGTGGTGAAAGCGGTGATGGATTATTGCACTGGAGTGGAGGGGAGAGGGGGCTGCATTTCATTGCACATCAAGCCTGAGGTTTAGACACAATCTGGATTCTCATTCAGGAATCAGCTGAAGTGTTGCCAGTCCTTCCTTGTACTTTCCCCCAGCTTTTCCAAGGGAATCTGTCTCCAGCTGCATTTGGCCCCAGGAAGGGCAGATTTGTTCCCCTGCTTCCCTGGAGCCTCACAGATTGCAGGTTCTGGGATAAAAACACATCAGCTGCTCAATCAGGGCCCTGGAATCTGGGGATGGTTTTGTGGCAGCTGAAAATGAGGATTCTGCTTTGGTTTACATCTGGTTTCTGCCCTGTTGCTAATTTAGGCTGCAGTCCTTGAGCACGTCTCACCTTGGATGGGAAAACAATGCTGACTAATGCAGAACTCAGTTCTGACAAAATCCTGGTGCACACAGAGAACTGGGGCAGGATACAGGTGAAGACTGATTTATTTTCCTGATTTATCTTCCTGATTTATCTTCCTGATTTATCTTCCTTCTCTGATGGGTGTAAAAGACAAATCCTGCTGAAATCCAGAGCTGCAGCTGGGGAGCAAACAGTGCCCAGTCCTTATCAACTGGCCAGGTAAATCCCTGGCAAAATTTCATTTGGACTGAAGAGGAGAGGGTGAGCTCCTCTCAAGCTGGGAAATGAACCTTTCTGTGTCAGAGGGGTCCTATTCGACTGTGGCTGTAACTTTAATTGGAAAAGGTTAATCTGATTAGTTGGTATTTGCAGAAAGCTTTAGGAGTGAGCAGTGCTGTGGAAGTGCTGACTGCTGTGATCGTGATGGATGTGCTTTATCAGCAGCTTGCCTGATGAGCAAGATGCTTTTTTCCCTATTTGGCTGTGAGGGAGCTGCCTCCTGGAGAGCAGAAGAAAAATATTTCAGAAAAAAAAAAAAGAAGAAAAATGGGTATCCTGTTGTTTTACATGATTCTGGCTCCTGTTGAGCTCTGTGTGTGGTCAGGTCCCTCTGGTACCAGAGGGAATATTTCCATGAGCAGGGAGTGACAGGACAAGGGAATGGCTTCACACTGATAGAGAGGAGCTTTGGGGTGGGATCACCCAAAAATCCTTCCCTGTGAGGGTGGGGAGGCCTGGCACAGGCTGCTCCACCCCTGGAGGTGTCCAGGCCAGGCTGGACAGAGCTCTGGACACCCTGGGACAGCATCCATGGCTTGGACACCTTAAATCTGCTTTATCAACCATGACAAGCTTGGGGAAGTGTTGGATGCCTGAGATGTTATTCCTTGTTTTCTTTATTTTGGGGGTGAACTTGGTGTTGTTCCGTGTTTGACCCACAAAGTGCAGGCTGAGAGGCTGAGCAGAATCACATGGAAAGGAAAATCCTCCTGGGAGGAGCAGCCAGAGTTCATGATTAATTTGCAGAGCGTGCGTGCACGCCATGGATCTGGCAGGGAGGGAGGGAGGGGAGCTGCTGCTGCTTCCTTTGTGCTTCTCCATCCTCAAAAGCAACGCTTGTAGCTCTAAGACTTTTATAGGTGTGGGATCTGAAAACTCCATTTCTGCCAACAAAAAGAGACCCAGGCTTGAGCTGCCTTGCAGGTGCTGTCAGATGATGTTGGAGTGTAAAATGGTGTTTCCATCCTGAATAGGGTTTTGAAATGTCTCTTGCTATCAGGAGTAGGCTTCAGAGGCTGTGCCTTGCTTTGGCTGCTGTCAGATGTTCAGATAAAAAAAAAAATAAAATACTGGAGTGGAATTTATAGAGTAGCTTCTACCTTCGGAGCTTGCAGGGAGTTCTAAAGGAAAGTATAATGAAGGAATCCTGCATTTCCCATGGGGAAAGTAGGGCAGAATGGAGAGAAAAACTGGTTTGGTGACTCATGGCCTTAGAAAACCCAGGTCCAGCTCTCGTTTTTTCCCATGGGGTGTCACAGCAGTGAGTCAGGCCGGGGACAGGGGCTGGCTCTGCTCCCCACTTTGTCCCAGGCTGGGTGGGAGTCACCTCCCCTCCTCTGCAGGAGCCACAAGGGCTGGAAAAATGGTGCAGATAACGGGAGAAGGGAGGTGTGAGGGCACCAGCATGAGAATAAAGATTTGTGCTGCTGATCTGATCCTTGGGCATCATTTCTGTCTGCTGCTCCTAAACCCTGGGACCAGGCTGGGTGGGAATCACCTCCACTCCCTTGCAGGCATTTCCAGAGCCACAAGGGCTGGAAGAATTGGTGCAGATAACGGGAGAAGGGAGGTGTGAGGGCAGCCAGCAGGCGAAGAAAGATCTGTGCTGCTGATCTGATCCCTGGGCATCACTCCTGTCTCCTAAATCCTGGGACCAGGCTGGGTGGGAATTACTCCTCTGCAAGCATTTCCAGAGAGAGCCACAAGTGCTGGAAGAATGGTGCAGATAACAGGAGAAGGGAGGTGTGAGGGCACCAGCATGAGAATAAAGATTTGTGCTGCTCATCTGATCCTTGAGCATCATTTCTGTCTGCTGCTCCTAAATCCTGGGACCAGGCTGGGTGGGAATCACCTCCACTCCCTTGCAGGCATTTCCAGAGCCACAAGGGCTGGAAGAATTGGTGGAGATAACAGCAGGGAGGTGTGAGGGCACCAGCATGAGAATAAAGATCTGTGCTGCTCATCTGATCCTTGAGCATCATTTCTGTCTGCTGCTCCTAAATCCTGGGACCAGGCTGGGTGGGAATCACCTCCATTCCTCTGCAGGCACTTCCAGAGCCACCAGTGCTGGAAGAATGGTGCAGATAACAGCAGCAGGGAGGTGTGAGGGCAGCCAGCAAATGAATAAAGATCTCTGGTACTGATTTAATCCCCAGGCATCACTCCTGTCTCCTAAATCCAGCCCTAAATCCCGCTGTGGGCTGCAAGCTGAGTGTTGTGTCTGCTTTCCACCCCAGGTTTCTGTGCAATCCCCTGCTTCTGGTGCCCGAACCCCTTCGTCTGGAGCATCAGCAGCGTGTGGAGCCCGCCCCACACAGCCCGTCCCCGCCGAACCACGGCCTTTACCTGCGTGTTCCGCTGTTTCCCGTGCGACCCCTCCTGCGGGAGCGCCTCCTGGGCCACCCCCGACTTCAGCCAGCGCTCCGTGGCTCCAATGGTGAAGATGACGAGGTCCAAGACTTTCCAGGCGTATCTGCCTTCCTGCCACAGGACCTACAGCTGCATCCACTGCAGGGCCCACCTGGCCAACCACGATGAGCTCATCTCCAAGGTAGGGGCTCCCCGGAGCAGACGGTGCCCTCACGTTGTGTCAG